GACAGTGGCGGAGATTACCGCCAAGTTCAGGGAAAGGGCTCTTCTTGTTCCTCAGTACGCAGCTGATGAGGAAATGAAGAAGGCTCGTTATCATGAGATGTTGCAGAGTGATATCCGCCAATTTGTGAGCCAGTCCAGCTGTAGATTGTTGGATGACATGATTGCTAGGGCTCGTGAGAGAGAGATTGATCTAGAGATTAGAAGAAGAGGAAGCCAGAGGCGGTATCTGGCACTGGGAGTTCGGGCAAAAAGCCCAAGGTATCTGATCATAGACCCAGAGGATAGCAGAGCCACAATTGGTGTGGCAAGTGTGGGAGATTGCACTATGGGGCGTGCAAGGCAGGTAGTGTCGGTCGCTTCAAGTACGATTGGACCGGCCATATGAGTAAAGATTGTACAGCTACTACCACCGCAACATCTGATATGATTTGCTTCCATTGCAATCAGAGGGGACATAAAAAGTCCCAATGTACGAGTTTGACAGCATCAGCAGTAGGGAAGGTGGTAGCACCTGCCCTGTAACATTGAGGATTACAGACGGTCGTCAGGGCCGGAGTGAGGCGCCAGTGGCAAAGAGTAGAGCTTTTCAGATGACAACAGAGGAGGCGCGAGTGACTCCTGATGTGGTGACGGGTATGTATCTTCCTTTCATCTTTTTATTGTTATGAATTGTTTCTTATGGTTATATGTCACACCCCAAAACCACGAACGGCGGAAACGTTCAGGGGTGGAGGATGTCATGTACAGTATCACAACAGTGTAATATAATAAACAAGCAACAACATCATCCATTGGATTTTAAGTAAAGTTTTAATACATGTGTGTTCTTTCATTGTAGTAAGACACCAAAAATATACAATCAAAATAAAAGATGAGATTTGTCTGCTCCGTCTTCTCAAAACCTGGCCTCCGTACCTGTCTACTGATGACCTGAGAATACAAGTTATTTTGAAAGCGAGTATCAGCTTTAAAGCTGGTGAATTCATAAGTATATAAGTGTCATTGCCTTGTTTGTGAAAAGATGTTATGAAGGCCTTGTGGATCGTTAAATGAAAATATTGATGTAAGTATGAAAAACCCTAGAAAATCCCTTATTTCCTATCAGTTTGAGATGAAGTCTTCTACCAAGACCCGAATGTTTTGTTTGTAAAATGATAGTTTTCCTTTAATTGTTTAGTACTAAAGTACTTAGTCTACTCATCGTTTATGTGAAAGTATCACAAAATAAACTAAACAGGAAAATGTACTACTGTAAGTGTTGTCACTGGGTACTAGGACTAACACAACATATGTAACTGTTATCCCAAGGTACTAAGGTTAACACGACCTATATAACCTAATGAACATCCGAAGATTGTCCAATTGTCCTCTGTAGCAGTAGCAGGGGGGAGGAAGGGTTAGTCCCTGTAAAGGTACTCCTCGTATAAGTAATAACCGTAAGCATCCGTAGATGTTCATCACCCACTGTTGCTAACAGATGGGTTCCGGAATGGTTAGTCCCATCCATATATCCCGAGGTACTGGGGATAGGGTCCTATTCTAGATATCCCAAGGTACTAGGGATAGGCAGGATAATTTACACAGAAGGTACAATTAAATTATCCTCGCAATTCGTGATACAAATATTCAAATAAGTATACATAGGTAAAGGTATCCATGTAAAGGTACTCATGTAATGTGTTCATGTATCATGTAAGCATATGTAAAGGTACTCAAGTGTCAGGTAAGGTACTAGTAAAGACTCATGAATGAACTGACTCTTGTGTGATTCCTTGTAATAGGAATAATGTTTTGTTATCTTCAAATTATCCCTATGATAATTTACTGTAATCTAACTAGTTGATCATGTAGGATTACACACTCTTACTACTCAAGGGTGTGGGAAACTTAAATGAAAGATGCAAACTATAACATCAATACATATATAAGAATATAAGTGTATATGCATAGTTTAGTTCAAGAATGTAACAATGGTTTTGTAAGACATCTTATGGGTTTTGAACAATGATTAACAATAACCTGAGGTCATTTTAATATACATTTCGAAGGTAAAACTTTTGATAACAATGTGTTTTTAAGATTTAAAACCATTTCATGCATCACATTTTGTAGTATGTGAAATCTGTTAAATGACAAACACAGTTATAAAATACATATCAATGATTTAATAACATGTTTGTTTCTACTTGTATCCCCCCATTAAAGCATTTTTAATCACTTAAAACATTGATTACGGGTATGAACTCACTTGAAAGTTTGAAGATAGCGAGATGGAAAACCGGGCAGAGTTTCGTCTCGGGAAACGGATTTTTCTCGGGATTCTTGGGAATCTCGGGAGTAAAATCGACCTTCGAGACTTGAGCAAAATGATCAGGGTTTTGGGGTAGTGCGGGCACGGAAAACGAGGCAAAACGCAAGAAAAGTGAGAGAGCATGAGCAATTTTTCCGGGAACCCTCGCATCTCTATTTATAGGGGGTCTGAGAAGCCTCGGTACGCGGGGCGTACTCGTGCGTCACCCGTGACCGAGTCCTCGACTGCCTCGCTTCGGATGGGACGGATCGGGTAGGCTCGCATAGGGGCGACGTGGACGGACCGAGAGCAAGGCCCTCGCGTACGCGGGGTGTACGGGGTTACGCGGCGTGTAACTCGGATGAGGACGCTGACTCCTCCTTCGGATGTTACCGGATTTTTGATTTAAATTAAATATAATTTATTTAATAAACTTCAAAAAATCCTATCTTCTTCATACGAACTCCGTTTTCGATGGTCTTTATATCCACACGTAGGTGAGACTACGCTCCACAACTTTTGTTTAGACTCCGTCGGCAAATTCCGAAATTATTTTTATTATTTATTTATTAAGATGACGTGATTAAGGAATTTCTTTAAAAATTCATAACTTCTTTATCTGACGTCGGTTTTTGCCAGACTTTTTACCGCTGAAATATCATTGTCGAGACCTTCGATTCTCGTTTAGGTCATTCCGGCCAAAAGTCGTTCGATCTTCGATTCGAGTTTTTTAGCTGACTGTTGCTAAGCTGAACTTGGAACAATCTTAACTTCAGTATACGAAGCCGGATTTGGGCATTCTTTTTACATACGATCTCGGTTTAATGATATTAAACATAGTAGGTAGTTAAATAGAAACTTTTTGGACATTTTATTATCAAAGTTAATTTCTTTAACTCAAAAGTGGTTACAATACTTGACCTATTAGGCCATTACAAAGAGTTAAAATATCGGGTTGTCACATTATATGTTTTATATAGGGTCGTTCTTAGTGAACGACATTTCAGCTACAGTCTTGTTTGATTCGGGGGCTACCCGATCATTTGTTTCGCTTGCGATTAACAAGAGAATTAGCAGAGCTCCGGGGGAGCTGGATTGTCCACTTGAGGTCGAGATAGCTGATGACAGGACTGTCAGGGTCACGAGAGTGCATAAGGGGTATTCACTTCGGTTATTTGAGGAGTAGTTTTCGGTAGACTTGGTTCCTATTCTTCTGCGAGGGAACAAGGTTATAGTAGGCATGGATTGGCTGAGCCCCAATGGGGCAGTGATTGATTGTGAACTGTAGTTAGTGAGGGTTTGCACTCCCAGTGGGGGATAGTTAGTGTTTCAGGGCGAGAGGCCACATCGCGGACCGATTCTTTGTTCAGCAGCGAGAGCGAGGCGCTACTTTTAACCGGGTTGCGGAGGATTTGTCACCTATGTGTTAGATGCCCGGGAAGAGGGCAAGGCGACAGTCGACGATGTTCCGTTAGTGCGAGACTACCCGAACGTATTCCCAGAGGATTCACTACTAGAAAAAAGGCCTTTTACGACGCTCATTGCGCGTCGTAAAACGCTCAGACGACGCGCAAATGCGTGTCAAGGAAGGCCCTATCATAACGAGAGACGACACGCTTTTGCGCGTCAACTTTAGACGACGCGCATTTACGATGCATATTTATGACACGCAATGCGTATCATTAAAGCTGCTGTCAAGAAACGCCATGTCATAAATGAAGATGACACACATTTTTGCATATCGTAATTAAAAAAAAATTAAAAATTTATTTACAGGTTTACTAATTTTCAAATTAAATTTTCATTTTCATATCTCATAGTAGAAAATAAAATACCATATATAAAAAATACAATCCATTACACAAAAGTTAATATCATACAAATAATCATTCTCAAGCTTTAAAGCATCAAATGATGAGAAATTGCAGAAATCACAATTTCTTGAATGTAATTACTGATAAACATTGTGTCTACTTGACAAATTAAACCTATATCATCACATTTGCTGCAACCAAGCTTGTTTCATGCTCTGCATCACATCTTTATACACCTAAAGGATGAAAGAAAAAAGATTAGAATTAGCCATAACAATATAACACCATTTATATGCATAAATTCAAAAATATTGTTACAGATTTTCTTCTGCTTAACCAATATGATAAATAAGTTTAAAACACAACAATGAAAATAAATTACCATTTATTTAAGTAACTTGTACTCTAACAGGAGAATGCAACAGTGGATAGAGCTAATACATAAGTAACTTGTACTCTAACATTTGACACTATAGAAGACTCAAAAAACATGAAGGGCAAAAAGGTAATCGACACATATTGTACCTGTTTCTGAGGTTTTGCCATTGTATCTGAGGTAAACAAATTACCCTTTATTTAATTACAGTAATAAACTAAAACTGTACAATATCACAATAAAAAAATAACATGATAATTAATTATAATAATTGGAAAAAAAAAAGTGAAAATTATAAAACAATCTAGATATCCGTTATAGTAAATTAACAAAAATATAAATTAAAAAGAGAGATGTATCTCTGTTATGGGGGGAAACTGGAAAAGAAAAAGTGAATTGTTTTATGGAATCATCACTTTCCTAACTTAACCCACTAGGACATTCTGTTAACATCAAGTAAAAAAGAAACTGTTAAACCATTAAATTTTTTATAAACATCATATATCCAAATAATAGTTGCTCATGAGAAAAGCTCCTTCACAAAAGCACATGTGAAAAGCTGTAGAGTTGGAATGTTTTGAGGATTTCTCAGCATCTGATATGGAGATGCTCATGCTCCCATTAAGACCATTACTTTTAGAGTTGGAATATTTTGGGACAGGAGTCTCCTTCACAAAAAGCATTTATTTCTTCCAAGAGATCTCATAGATTACCTGTGGAAACGCATAAATTGCACGCAAGATTCTTGCATAATCAGTTCCAAGCATTTGAATAACAATGTCTGCTAGTAATGTTCCCTATAGCCTGCATAAATAAATATAAATACATAAATAAATAAAGTATTATTAGTGGAAGGTAAAAAAGGAATAATACATAGGACCAAGTAACACCATTATGCTCCTAATTAACACCAAGATTTCGCGATGCATCACCTGCTAACCCCTGTTTACAAAATCACCAATCCATAAACAATATTTTCACTAAAAAAATTCACAACTTAATATTATATTATATTTATATTTAATATCCAAAAACTATTCAAATAACAACAAAATAAAGAGATTGTGATAATATAAATATATTATATTTATATCCAAATCCAATCACCTGTTCTGCTGCAAGTAAAGCTGCTCTTGACTCCAAGTTTATAGCTTCCATTCGTCCACCCTGATAACAATCAAAACATTAACATATCAGATATATATATATATATACACACACCTCTTTGAGAACTTCCTTCTTTATTTGATAATTACCAGCTTCCTTCAAAGTATAATGTCTTTAAGATATTTTTTTTTTTTTGAAATCGTAATGATAGAATGAAAGAATAAAATAAAATAAAATAAGCCAAACAGAAGTACGTTACTAATTCTTGGATTTGGATGTGAATATATAGGTTATTCAATATCTACATTCTGGGATAAATTATGCTATAGATCTTTTATCACTTATACATTAGCTATTAATAAAAGCATATGCAAATTACAAGATTACCAAGTGGGAACAAACTACAACATGATTTATATAAATATAATATCAATCACAAATCATTTGTTATAATACAAATGACATGGAAACTAAGAGTGAAAAGACCACTTACCACAATGACATAAATTCGCCCTTTGCAAGCATGAAATTGGCTTCCTAACAACACCTTTAATTTGTACATCGTGTAGCTGGAATTTTGTTCCTTTTTGCAATTTTTGTACATCATAGGAGATTAGATAGATTTGATCATTTCATTTGTTGTTCATCATCTTATCAAGAACTGTATTAAGATCCACACAGATTCATTTTCTGTGAGGTTTCTCACAGAAGCTCTTACAAGGTCCCTCCTGAAACCCATTGATGTGACCTTATCCACTATATCATCTACTGAAACTGTATTACCATTTCCTTCTATAATTAACCTGTCTTCTACATCAACACCAGTTGGTAATGCATGAGGCAGTGGTTGGGTTTCAAAAAGAAACCATTATATAATGTAAAATAACTAGAGTTACAGAAAGAAATCATGTAAATGCTTAGTTTTTCAATTTCTTTATGGTTTTGCATTTTTACAAACACCTGGTATATACTATGCAGTTGTACATTTCCCATCAAAATAAAATCAAAAATTCATTCTCTACATACATATCTAGAACCAAAAATCTTTTTGACTGCTATAAATAAACACTCTATACTTGTATTATATCTATATATGCTCTCGCCCATACTCCCACACAATCGTAGGCATGCTCTGGATTGGATCTCTCATAGATCTCACACTATCTCAAAATTTATGAGAATGTAGAGAGCCCCAAATTAAAATAAGAAAATGATAAAGTAAGAGAAATAAACCTAGGGCACATATATGGAGAAGAAGAGAATGATATTCAAACCTGGTGCCTCTTCCATTTTCGTTTCCTAATTTCCGATGCTTCCAATCCGACCATGAACCTCCAACTTCTAATCCCATATCTGACCTTGTGAGGTCCAGAACATAAAATTCCTGATTTTGAGAATCTCCACTACCGATAAAGTTCCTTCATCGTTCCTAAAAATCAGGTCGAATCCATGAAGTCAAAAAAGATCACATACGATAAAAACCCTAAAGAAGAATTGACAGTAGAGTAGATGAAGGGCAAATAAATTAGAAACCGAAGGAAACAAAGACACAGTAAAACCTTACCAAGAATCAACGGTTGAGTTAATCCATAACAATCAACCACTTCTGTAATTTCGGTGGACCGACTTCCAAAATTAGGGATAAAAGCAACATCCATCAAGGGCAACACAGATGGAACAAAATCCGACAGAGAGGATAAAGGGGGTGTGGAAGAAGAAGAGCAATTGAACAGCAAATGACAAACATTTGAGACCCAGCCCATTCACAATCGGCATGAGAGACTCAACCGCTGCGCACACAGTAACTTCATCCGACTCCAGCAAATCAGTGACCAAAAACGATAGGGAGGAGGAGGACGAAGGGACAAGGGAAAGCAATCAGAGTAGGGACCAACACCCTAGGCTTCTTTCTTTCTTATTGGAAGAGGCGGAGGGGGGGGGGGGTGTTAAACTTTCAGATAGAATAGGCGGTTGTTTAATTTTTGAGGATTTCATTTTCCCGCTTAAAATGCGTGTTTCATTAAAGAAATATAAAGTGACACACTTAGATGACACACAGTTTATGATAGGCGCCCTCCGTATTTCCTTTTTTTTCTTTTCTGACACTAATTGTAGGGGGCACGCACAAATGCGTGACCTCTATCCTTCAGATTTTGTAAAACTGACATTGTTTTTTAGGGCACGTACAAATGCGTGTCTTCTATCAGCGCGTGTCATTGTTTGCGCGTCGTAAAAGGCCTTTTTTCTAGTAGTGATTTTCCTGGGATACCTCCGGAGAGACAAGTTGAGTTCAGGATTGATCTGGTTCCTCGTGCGGCTCTGATAGCTAAAGCACCATATCGGTTAGATCCTCAAGAGATGTAGGAGTTGTCTATGCAGCCGTAGGAGCTGCTAGAAAAGGGTTTTATCAGGCCGAGCAGTTCACCTTGGGGAGCCCCGATCCTGTTTCTGAAGAAGAAGGACATGTTGCACCGTATGTGCATAGACTACCGGGAATTGAATAAGCTGACGGTGAAGAATCGTTACCCACTTCCGAGGATAGACGACTTATTTGATCAGCTTCAGGGAGCATCTTGGTTCTCAAGGATTGATTTGCGCTCCGGTTATCATCATATGCGGGTCAAAGGTGAGGATGTTCAGAAGACTGCTTTTAGGACCCGCTATGGTCATTATGAGTTTGTGGTGATGCCCTTTGGGCTCACCAACGCTCCAGCCACGTTCATGGATCTCATGAACCGCGTGTGCAGAACGATGTTGGATCGTTATGTGATAGTGCTTATCGACGACATCTTGGTCTATTCCAAGACTCAGGAGTAGCATGAGGAGCACCTGAGGGAGGTGCTAGAGACTTTGAGGAGGGAGAGACTTTTCGTGAAGTTTTCCAAGTGTGAGTTCTGGTTGCGCGAAGTGCAGTTCCTTTGTCACCTCGTCAACCAGAACGGTATACTAGTAGATCCGGCCAAGATAGAGGTCGTGATGCAGTGGGAGGTCCCGAGGTCTCCATCTGAGATTCGGAGCTTCCTAGGTTTGGCAGGATACTATAGGAGATTCATCCAGGATTTCTCCAAGATACCAGTTCCACTCACTTGACCGAGTAGGAAGTTGGTGGTGTTTCATTGGGGGCCTGAGCAGCAGGTAGCATTTCAGACCCTCAGGCAGCGATTGTGCGAGGCATCGATCCTTACCCGGCCAGAGGGAGTGGATGACTTTGTAGTCTATTGTGATGCCTCGATCACCGGTATGGGAGTAGTGTTGATGTAGCGAGGGCATGTGATAGCTTATGCCTCTAGACAGTTGAAGCCTCACGAGGCTAACTATCCGACGCACGATTTAGAGTTGGGGGCAGTGGTGTTTGCCCTCAAGATTTGGAGACATTACCTCTATGGGGTCCGTTGTACCATTTACATGGATCACAAGAGTCTGAGGTACCTCATGGACCAGCCGAATCTAAACATGAGTCAGCGTCGATGGTTAGATGTGGTAAAGGACTACGATTGTGAGATCCTTCGCCATCCGGGCAAGGCCAACGTTGTGGCCGACGCCTTGAGCCGCAAGGAGATGGCGGCTCTGATCAGGGATAAATGTCTGAGGATTACGGTGATTACTCCCTTGTTGGAGCAGATTAGAGAGGCACAAGTCAAGGGCCTGAAGGAGGAGAGGTAGAAGTGTGAGCGGATTGTGGGTCGAGTAGCTTCTTTTGATTATGACAGTCGAGGATTTTTGACCCTTCATGGGAGAGTCTAGGTGCCGTATTGGGGAGGAGTACGACAGGTGTTGATGGATGAGGCCCACAAGTCCCGGTTCTCCATCCATCCAGGGGCGACGAAGATGTATAGAGATCTTCAACCTGATTGTTGGTGGCCCTGCATGAAGCGGGACGTAGCCTGGTACGTAGAAAGGTTCCCGACTTGCAGCAAGGTTAAGGAAGAACATTAGAGACCCCACTGCAAGATACAACCATTAGACATTCCTGTGTGGAAATGGGAGGATATCACTATGGATTTGTCACACCCCCAAACCAAGGATGGCGGAAATGTCCGGGGATGGAGGACTTCATGTATAGTATCATAACCACAATTGCAATAGTAATTTAAGCAAACACAACCAACATATATATAATTGAAAGAGTTACATCATTGTATGAGTTACATGTTTCCAAATCAATTACAATATGTTGACAAAACATGAAATGTTGACACCTTAACGTCCCATCCTCAAAATGCACTTTCATACCTGTTTAGTGATTTCCTGAGAATACAAGTTGTTTGAAAAAGTGTCAACACAAAGGTTGGTGAGTTCATAAGCTTTTGTTTTCAAACTTGACAATAGTCTTTCTCTTGTAAATGTCATGTTTGTTTCATAAAAATCCGATATTTTTCTTAAAATGTGTAATGTAGTCTTATATCTGAAAACCAAAATGTATAAGTAACCTCTCTTACTAATAGAAAATGTTATGTGTTTAAATCGATATAAACACGTTTGAATTAAATGAAATTCCCATAAATTCTTATGTTTGTTAATACTTTCTGTGAGTTCATTATAACCATGCTATGACCTAGTTGGCCTGAAACGACGTTCTTCAGGCGTCAGAAATGCTTATGACATTTGTCACCCCAGACTTGCCGGTCTAACTGTTGCGTGTAGTTAAGGTGTGGGTTTGTCAAACGCAATATAGATCTATATACAACTATCACGCTCTCCCTCCAGGAGACTCTGGTTACAATACAAGACTTAATGGTAAATGTGAAGGGAATGTCTCACAAAGTCTTTAACAAATTTACGTGTAATGTAATGAAAATCCCTTATTGTATAAATGTACACTTTTTGTATGAGTGTGTTATGTAATGTATCATAAACCATACCTATTATAGTTTATTAAAACAAGGGTAGTAATGGTAACGTACGTAAACTATATTCAACGTAGTTCATTCAAATGTTTGAGTAAAATGGATGTACTTTGATTACAACAATTGTGTTATCCTTTATATTTCATATGTATATCTATATCAAAATCCATTTATTAACTGATGCATGTTCATATACCAAGATAAAATGTCATTCATTTGCAATAACATACATTCACATAAAGATATACACCTTGCTCAACATGTTACAAGGTGATAATAATATGTTAGCATTTTTCTGTTAGTAACATCTCCGATCACTGTTAGTAGAAAATTTATAAAAACTTCATAATAGATCCAAATTAGAATCTATAAATTTTGGGAGTTTGGGTAATGAGTCTAGTTTGTTCATAAATGTTTCCATGATTTTTAGTGACCTCCAACTTATGTGAAAACGTCCATAAACACAGACTGGTCCGGATTGGTTCTTGAAATGATAGACAGTTTTGCAAAATCACCATAAATTATAGAAAAATCATATGGAGATGTGCAAGTAGCCATTTTAAAGTTAAGAACTTGAACTACTTTCACCTTGTACAGTTTTGAAAACAAAAATGTTTTAGTTGACCAAAACAGTCCGTGAATGGAGTCCAAATTTTCTGATGTAAGCTGTTAGAAACATTTAGTTGTGTTCTTGATGATTATACTTGTATTGTCCCCCTTAAAACTTAAGAAAATATGAAAATGTAGGGGTATGAACTCACCTTGAGTGATTTCAGTAGATGGATGATGGAGAAATGTAGTATTCCACTCAAGAACACTAAGAAGATGTCTTGAAGGTTCGAAGATCTAACACTAATGTGATCGAATTTGTGTAAGAAATCTATGATTTGGAGTAAGAGGAAGTGAAATAATTATGTGGAGGATGAATATACTTACCAAAAGTGGGAGAAATCTTGGAAGAAGGCCCTTGAATCTCGAATTTTTGGTGAGAGGATTGAGAGAGAAAAATGTTTAATCTTTGGTGAAATGAGAGCAAGTGAGTGAGAATGAGGAGAGAGGATGAGTGTCCAGCTCTAAGAACGTGGGAATAACTTGTGAGAGAGGTAAAAAGTACAAGGAAGTGACAAGGTATGGTGGGGAGGAGAGTGGGTTAGTCATGGAGTGGGTATGGTGGTTGCTTGTGTCATAATACAAGGAAAAGTCAACACTCAACCTTTGTACTTCACCCACTCTTCTTGGATAAGGTTTTATCCCCAAAAATGTGGGAAACTAGTAGATATGGGTCCCTAAATGTTATAATAAAGTTTCAGGTGAAAATCCCGCGTTAAAACGATGAAAAACGAAGTTAAAATGAAGTCGTAGTCGAAAACCGGAAAGAAATGGGCTTCTAGCGAGACCTCTTGGTCTTGGCCGGAGGTTCGGTCCTCCTGATGTTGGGCCCAAAGGCGAAATAGGCTGAAAGTAGCAGGAAGCGAAATGGATCGAAAGCAGCAGGAAGCGAAATGGACCAAGAGTGACTACGGCCCGAAGGCTTCGGGTTCGGTTCCTTATGCGAGGTTCGGTCCGAAAGGGGAGGGTTCGGTTCCTTATGCGAGGTTCGGTCCAAAAGGGGAGGGTTCGGTTCCTTAATAGTTCGGTCCCTAAGAGGGGTTTCGGTCCTCAGCAGTTCGGCCCTAAGAGGGGTTTCGGGTCCGAGAGGGTTCGACCCTATAGGAGGGGTTTCGGGTCCTTAAGGGTATTTCGCCTGTTTTTACCCCCATTTTAAGTGGTTTTTGACCCGGTTAAGGGTCGGGATGACCAGAATGTTTGCAAAAAGTTACGGGAACTTTTGAAAGAGATTTGGGAGAGATTTGAAATAGAGAGAGATAGAGTGAATACAATATAGGGAGGTTTCGTTTGTGACATTTTTGAGTGTC